CATTAGAAAAGCGACTTATAATCTCTTGGATAGCGCCATCTCCTTATAGTGTAGTTGTTGCAAGAAACGGTGATCCCTATTCTGTGTCATTGGGCGCAAAAGAGGGGAGAATATAAATACAAATTTGGGTATTTTATATATTATCTTTTCTAGGTTATCTTTTGCTACTTGACTAATTACTTTCTAGATTACTTCCTTATTTGACTAATTACTTTCCTTAGATGTAAGAGAATTAAGCATGTATTAATGGGATTTGGGTATCTCAATCTTATTTTGTCTGTGTGCATGTGAATATTAGTTTCTTATTTGTATGAGTTGTTACAGCTTGGTTGTGATTCTGTCTCCAGGTGTATATGCAGATCGAAGATTAGTAATTGATCTCAAAGTCATGGTAACTCCTTATTTTCTCTCAGTTGCTAGAAAAATGCATGTACTGAAGGAATTTTACAGATTAGTCTCCTTGTAATAACACTTACACATGTCTTGCACATTCACTTTCATTTCCCAGTATTACTCTCACCTAAGGTGCGCATACCGCTTTGGGAATATTGTATCTTGGACTGTGCTTTTGTGGTCATAGGCATTTTCATTTTTGCTGCTGCCCCTGCCTAGTAAACCTAACAACATTTTGTTGTGTTCTTTCAATGTGAAGATTTAGCAATTTAGCACTAATTTTTTATGTGCATTTGGATGCCCACTTATTTTACTGTTTAATGCCACAACAGATCATTTTGGATTCTAATTTCTTCTTTTGTTTTGTTTTTATAGCTCATTTTGTTTCCATTTGCACTAATTCCTTTGTCTGTACCAGAATTACCTTGTTGGAGCATTCAAGTCACCATGTAATATTGCGGTCACATTTTCTGATGGGAGAACCCGTAAACAGGTACGGTATACAATATATTTGTTTAGTTTTCATATATTACTAATCCCTTTTTGCGGATGTTCTATTTTGACTTATTTGACATGTACAAGGTTCGGGTTGTAATTCATCAATAACCCAACATTGACAACTGATCTTTCTCTTGGCTTCATATTTTCATGGATTGCTATTATTTGGTGAAAGAAGGCCATTGTTTTCTCTCTTGAGTATTTCTTTTGTCCTGACCTAGTAGTATTGTTTATGCCTTTATTAGCACCAATTTGAGGATTATGATAAGTTGCAAGGGAAGCTCCTAAATGATTTGCCAAATGCCAATAAACATAGGATATGATGGATGCGATCTAATTCTAATGTACTGGGGACTCATTTATGATGACAATCTTCCTGATCTTAATGGCTATTCTAGTTTCACTTGGTTGTTGCCATGGTTGATTGTGGTCCAAACGTACTTTCAGCTTCTGGGTTTGAGGCAAAACCTTGAGCTTATTTTATATGGTAGATTGAATTTCTGCTGGTGAGAAAGAGCTCATCCTTATACTGTCTCAGCGAGGGATATTGGAATTTCGAATTCATACACAACACATGTATGGATCTAGATAAAACCTACTTTTCTATAGTAATTATTGTTTTTGAGTGATGTTATAATTATTTTTAATGTCTTATATTTCTACTCTTATATGGCTGTCACAAAAGATATTTTTATGCAACCTCTGTTTCGTTTATGCCAATACAATATTTGCCTCTTGGAGTCTTAATAAGCTGATACCAAATAGTTATCAACTTATCGCATCTTGATAAGGTAGGCTTAAATTAATGTTGTTTAATATTTGATACAGGCTAAACAAGGTTTAAGGATAGTCAGTATAATTGTGTAGCCTATCTGCAAGAAAGGTTATGAGCATTGCCATTCGACGCCTATTAAGCTGGCAAGGTGTCAAGCATGAGTTAGTCTATATTAGTCTCTTGGGGCCATTTTTTATATATTTTTCTCATTCAATCAGTAAATCTGAAAACTTATTATTTCTGAAAGTGCTCTCATTGCAGAAAAGAGTGATCCTTATGTGTTAGGAACCAGGATAACTTGCAATGATCTAGCATGTACGAATACTGTGAAAATCATTTGCACAAAATATTTACTAAAGGATTGCCAAATCAACTCAATGGTGTCATATTTGTTTCTGATTAAGCTGGAAATTACTCTATATGTAGTAATCATGAATCATGATGCGTACTCGGATGGACAAACTTTAGCTTACAAATTCAGTTAATTTTTTTTCTTTTGACTAAAATTGAAAATAATCTATTTTAGAATATATTGAGTATTGTTATTCCTTCTGGAGTCTGGTGATAACAACACCGATTCCATTTCCTTCCTTTATTGAGCGCTTCAACAAGTTTGTCCAAATGGGAGTTCCATACTCTATGTCTGCGTATAAAATTATATGCTTATTTTTCTTCTTGTTTCTCTTTTACAGGCTTCCATGAAAATGGACAATGGAAAGACTGCATTGGTTCCACTTTTTCAAAGTCAAGAGAACATAGCTGGGGAGGTACTAAGCATTTATTTGAGAATAAAGATGCTAGTTGGCTAATCAAAATGGATAGAATGGGTTTATTGTTTTGTTATTGTGACCTAGAAGATCCCCATTTATCAAATTGCATGGTGGTGTGGATTCTGTCCCTATTCCTTGAAGCATTTGCAGATAGAAATCTGTTTAAGGACTATTCACGATGGGTGAAGTTGAGTAATAAATGTTTATATTCTAATAGAACTGAGGAATTCATTGAAGCATAGATGAGAAGTCTTTGAAGTGTATGTTTATATGATAATTTTGGGGTCCATATTGTATAACAAAAGCATCCATAGAACCTGTCCAGTGAAAAAATAAATTCTGTCATGGAATTTCTCTGACATCTGTGATATGCAGGTGTCTATTGAACCTGTCCATGGGAAAAAGGTTGAACACACCGGTGTTAAGATTGAGCTTCTTGGTCAGATAGGTATGGCTCCACAAATTTCTGGTTCTTCTTTTCCTTTTCCACCCAAGATTTTTCTTTTCTTTCTTTATTAGTGTTTTTTTCTGTTGAAGATGTCTAATGTAAGTAGTAAGTACTTGAGCACATAATTTATTTTCTTTTCTTGTGTACGAGAAATTCATGAGATGTATTGGTGCTCTTCACTCCTTGAAATTTACAGAGTTCAGTGGGATGCCTAATAAAAAATACATAAGCTCTGTTTGTTTCTAGTGCGAATGCAAACAGTCTACTGTCAGCTTTTGGATTTGAACTCAAGTAATGATTCAGCATGTGTTTTGTATAATGAACCTGCATACGCATTTCTTTAAACAAAACATACGTATGTTGTGAAATCCAACTTTATGATAAAAAATCCTGTTTTCTCAAAGTTGATGAAGTTTTGTCAAATCAAACATGGTTTTGCTTGTAAACAAAGTGAAACGTCCAAATGGAACCATTCTACCAGTACCATTGCACTACATCATGTTTTATCAGTTTAAAACATGATAGCCAATGCGCTGGTGAGGCAATACTTTGACATATGCACTTCTTTTGGAGAACCTCCCTAGGTCTATTCTGGCTTGAGTAATGTCCATGGAAAAATGCTGTTATTTTACATGTCTTTAATTTCTGCAGTTCCACTTAAGCTGCACGAAGCATAGAATCTAAATTTGTTTTATTACAGAGATTTAATTTAGTTAATAGTTCTATATTTTCTTTAGGTTATGTTTGTTTAGTTTTGTTTGAACTATAGAACTGCCATATCTTTCCCTTAAAGTACCATAAGCTATCTGATTTAATGGAAAGTGTAGGATGGTCTCCATTGAAGTTTTGTTCTTTATGTACTATTCTATAGTCTGTGGAATATGCAATTGGAAGTATATGCTTTTATGTAGAAATTTGATTTTTCATCTTCTTCTTTGCTAAGTTATGAACTGTTTGGACTTATTGTTTTGCAGAGTTGTATTTTGACAGGGGCAACTTTTATGACTTCACTTCTCTAGGTGAGTTTTCCTATATGGTTTCTCTACCATTGGGTTTCTCCTGCGATGTGTTTCATGTGAGGAAAAAGTAGATTTTAAATGCAGTCCCTTACAGTTTTTGTATTATAGAGAGACGAGGTAGTTCATATTCACATTTGCTTGGTAAGTATTGACAAATTGTGTCCAATAAGGATCCACATTGGGAACAACTTCAATGACTGAATGTGAACTGTGAAGGCTCTGAGATCGGATTTGTCAGCGAAAACTTCCAAGGAGGAATCAAACTTCTGGAGTGTCCTTGGAAGGAAAAAGACAAAAATACCATTTGATTGGATAAAATCACTGCCAGAAAGTATTTTCCTTGTTGAACTTTACTGATGTTTGCTTGTACACATGTAAGTGGGCATAGATTGCCTCTGGAGGATATTTATATTGTAACTTGAGTGTTTATGGTGCATTGGTGTGAGAGATAAGAGATAATAGTCTGGGACAAAGATGAGGTGTCTATAGATGGAACCCCTTCTATAATGGTGCATGATTTTAAACCATAATGCATGGAGAAAAGTCCTCACAAAGAGTATGATTGTCTAAAAATGATGCTTCATGTATATACAACATGGTCATTTGTTAAATACATATGCTGGTTACTGACAATGTTGTTTCTTAAGGTGGACTTTGAGTGCTGCATCCTGTCACTGTAAACATCCATGTGAGTGGAATTACTGTGCTGTCACTGTAAACACCCATGTGAGTGGAATTACTATGCATGGCAAAAAGTCCTCCCAAAGAGTATGATTGTTAAAAATGATGCTTCATGTATATACAACATGGTCATTTGTTAAATACATATGCTGGTTGCTGACGATGTTGTTTCTTAAGGTGGACTTTGAGTGCTGCACCCTGTCACTGTAAGCACCCATATGAGTGGAATTACTATGCTGTCACCTATAGGTTTTCTGTTTCTTCAGTTTCTTAATGTGAAAACAGCAAGCATAAAGTAAACTTCTCCTTTCTGCAGCAGATTGTAGAAGTTATTCTTGTCTTAACGCTTTTTTTTCTGTGTGGAGGAAAAACTGTATCCTCATGTGGATGTAGGATTAGAACCCCTGGTTCTTCTATGACAAGAAGAAGCTTTACCACCTCTTTTTGAGTGGCCCTCACACCTGTGGGTAGATTCCCTAGCTGAGAATATTGTTGTCTATACTTGAGGTTCGTACTTCGGCAGATTAGAATAAGTCATTGTGCATGTATGTTAGCTATTAAAAACTGTTGGAATTGGCTTTTTGGAGCATATACGGTAAATAAACCTATATTATCATGACATTTATATTTATGTTGACCTATTCATAATTCAAATGTAGCACCCATCAGAGCTTGCCTTAAACAAATTCTCTGAAAATGTCCTCGTGTTAAATGCATGATTTTTATTCTCCTCAATTTCCTTGGCTGAAGCCCTTAGGATGATTACAGAGGTTGTTGTACTGCAACCAAAATACACACTGCTCTCCTCTGACACACATTACACATATTATTTAATTATTATTAGTTTTAGCCGATACTGGTTCCTTTGATGCCATATCTCATCTATTGTGTTGAAAATAGTGAGAAATTGTTTCTTTGTTTCTATTTGCTTATCTTTAGAGATGTTCTTCCTATTCTATAATGCAAATTAAACTATATCAATGTTGTCTTGTCTTTTATGTTTTGATTCAACTAAAAGGATCAAGGACTTTGTTGTATCATACTATCATTTTCCTTTCCCAGTGCGCGAGCTAGAAGTTCCTGGTGAACTATATGAAAGGAAGACCTATCAGTTTGAATTCTCTACAGTTGAAATGCCGTATGAATCATATAATGGGGTAAATGTGAGGTTAAGGTAAGCCATAGTTATACTTGTATATTGCCAAGTAAATGTTGTTGTTTCCTACAAAGCTTGCACAATGTCTATTTATAAATTTTTTTTCCCATTTAGTAAGAATAGTTTATTTTACATATTTTGTCATAATGAACGTTCTTGCATAGTTTCTTGACATATATTTTCAGACTAAAAAGGAATTTTAGTAGGCTTAGCATTAACACTTTCATCTAAAATTTAACATTTTGTCATAACGTGACATATATTTTTAGACTAAAAGGGAGTTTTAGTAGGCTTAGCATTAACACTTTCATCTAAAATTTGCTATTGCTGATGTGAGGTGCTTGCAACAAACCGCAGGAATTCGATAGATATGAAAAATTATTAGGCAAACCCGTGGAGAAAGAGTTATTTGACACCCATGGTTTCCAAAGATTATACTCTTCCATTATTTTCTTTATGGAACACCTAGGCACTTCCATCTTTCCGGTTCTCGGTTCGTTGTGATGTACTCAACTTCATCACGACACTTTTCCTCAAGCACATATCATATGAGGATTCACGAGTATTCTGTACTTGAACCTAACTTGGTACAAGTTATGTGTCTGGTTAGAGAATTTGAAAGTTGTGTTGGGATTGGCTTGAAAATTTCCAAACTGAAATTTGTATAGTTATGCTGGGCCAGAATTGACCTTTAACCCAATTGGAGCCAAATGAGAACTCAGCCCTGAAACCTATTAACATAACTCAACTATCAATGTTGTGATTAAAGCCTTATTCTCTGCCATTTTTAGAGCAGGATGGAGGAGGGTTAGATTAGTTAGTTGTTGTGTATAAGAAAACTTTGTCGTATCTTTATTAGACTCAAGTGGAATTTTTGAAGGGGATATTTATTTAATTGAAGTAGGATGGTTAGAGTGTAGAGATACTTGTCGAATACTATAGATCGTAAAACATTCTAAGTTAAACGTTTACCTTACAAGGCGACCATGCTGCATGGAACACATGTTCATACTATAGATTGTAAGACATTCTTAAGTGTTTACAAGGCGACTAGGCTGCATGGAACACATGTTCAACAAGTGTTGCTAAAATGTGAAAGCTGATTTGTATGAACGTGGTCAAATAAACTAAAGGATATCATGCGAGAAGACTGCAATTAGTGAGCATGTTTTGTATAAACAATAAGTGAATCCGTTAGGGAGGGTAGAATTAAAAAAAAAAAGACTATTTTTGAAAAATAGTAAGCAAAATTAACCCTTTTATATAAAATATTAGCAAAATCTGACCTTTTTTTGGTCACTTGGCGAAAAAGAGGTCGATTTTGCAAAATGCTGACTTTAAAATACACGAGACTAGTAGTCCCGTGTAATTAGTGGTCGCTAATTACGGTTAATTTGAAATGCTCATCTTGTGTACTTTGTGTAGAAATGCTTAAGGTTTAATTAATGATAACTAAATACACAGGGCTACTAGTCCTGTGTATTTTAAAGCCGGATTTTTGCAAAGTCGACCTCTGTTTAAATAAAAGGTCGATTTTACTAATAATTTTACAAAACAGTTGATTTTGCTAATTATTTTTAAAAAAGGGTCTTTTCTAAGAAAATTCTCCATTAGGGAGGCTTCTATTGCAGAGTTGCAGTTCAAGAGCTCATAGACCTATATGTACACTTAGAAGAACCTGATTACCGCGGTTCTAAAGGACATGTTACTATAAGTAGACGTTCAACAGAGGTGAATTTTGACTTATAAAGGCTCTATTGCATTTATGCTATAAATAAGCAAAACACAATACATCCGTGATCATGGTTTTGTGACTTTTGTCTCCTTTTCTGCATCACTTTGTTTGGATGATCACTTGGCTTCTGAAGAACTATATGTGTGCGTGTATCTGTATGATTGTTGATTTATTTATTTAGCATTTTTTTGTGCTTATCATGTGTGTGCGTGCATGTGCATATGTCTCTGCCTATATACTTAATTATTTTTATTTGACATATTATAGGCTTACCTAGGATAGTAGAATTTGCCTGTCAGTGTAGGTAGATATGGTGTTACCTTATCTTCCCTTCCGGTGGAAGTTCTTATCTTGAAGGTTATTTGAGCTATTGGAAACATGATGATTTAAAATTTGTAGCCGGATATTCTTACCTGTTATATTAAAGCATCATTGTTTTAGAATGTATGTGTCACTTAACCAGTGAATGGAATGATCATTTCAAGCTTGCAGGTATGTTCTCAAAGTAACAGTCAGTCGTTCTGTATTCAGCAACATTGTGGCGTACCAAGACTTCTGCGTAAGTGAATCAAAAAATGTGATTCTTGTAATGAAATTCTTGTGAACTTTTAGTGGTTTTCTCCAAGTTAAGTTTATTATCCTGTTTGTAACCATACACAATGAAGTCCCCAGCACCATTTTTCTATGTTGGGCTATTTCTTTTGTGATGTTCGTTAACAGTTGGAGTATTAGAACTGTGCTTGTAGAAATGCAAGATAAAGTAGTTGTTCATGGTTTTTTAAATCTTTTGGTCATGGAAACATGTCTCAGCAACTTATGAGTTATGTTCTGTCTATTCTCAGTATTGTAAGACGACACTACTTCATTTAACTGTTCACTTATACAAATCCAGATAGAATTTTTTGGAACTAATACAACACACTCTCCAGTTGTAATATTCTTTGATGTTCGAACTGTCTAATTTATACTTACAGAGTTACAGCACAAGCATGCTAATTTGCATACTTGGTAATAGTACTA